CCCCCCTCCCCTCTAGAACCCTCAGTTTGTTTCTCAGAGTCCATAGTCTCTCATGCTTTGTCTCCCCCTCCAATTCTCCCCCCCTTCATTTTTCCCTTCCTGCTTTTTTTTAACATATAATGTATTATTTGTTTCAGAGGTACAGGTCTGTGATTCAACAGTCTCACACAATTCACAGCACTCACCATAGCACACACCCTCCCCAGTGTCTGTCAGTCACCCAGCCACCCTGTTCCTCCCACCAGGATCCTCGTATTTTTTAAGAAGAATCCTAAAATGCCTCACCCTTCCTATCTTATTGAGACAGTAATTTCCATGCTGGTTTGATTTTCTTTTATAAGTTTGGGGATGGATCCAACTCTTAATTTCATATTTGGTTAGGCAGTAGTTTTAAAAAATCTTGTTCCATGTGTGAGGATCAGAGTCCTGGCATGTTTAGCCTTGCCTTGTGGCCCAGTGCTCTGTTGCAGCAGCACTTGGAACCAGGTTTGTGTGTCATGTTCAGAGAGTAAGAAGTCCTTGTTCTTCTGAATGTATGTTTTTTTACGTATTCATTCTCTGGTCTGGGAAGTCTGGGGAAATGGCAGGTGAGAGACTTAGCTTTAAAACACGATATTTGCATTTAGTCACTCTTCGTTCCTTTGTTCAAATCTCAGCTGTTACAACAAAGCATTGAACACTTCCAGTGCGTTTTTTCCCACTTAATGTGTGTTCTTTAAATGTAGCATTCCAAAATATGCCCGGTGCTATCCGCCCAGCCGCTCCTAGACCACCATTTAGTACCATGAGACCAGCTTCTTCCCAGGTTCCACGAGTCATGTCGACACAGCGTGTTGGTAAGCCTTAACACTTTCCGTGAAAATTGATTTCCAGTTTGAAAAAGCAAGGTAAAAGTACAAAACCCCGTGTTTATTTTTTAGCTAACACATCAACACAGACGATGGGGCCACGTCCTGCGGCGGCCGCTGCTGCGGCAGCACCTGCTGTCCGCACCGTTCCACAGTATAAGTATGCTGCGGGAGTTCGCAATCCTCAACAGCATCTTAATGCACAGCCACAAGTTACCATGCAGCAGGTAGGCCTTTAATTTCTGTATAAAGATGGCAGTCCTTGGTTGCAGTCAAAGAAGCTGAAGACAATTAGGAGAGCTGAAGCTATCTAGAACATTGTGCTAATTGATGTCCCATTAATTGTATGTAAAAATGTCTTATACTGTGGGAAGTAGGCATTCAGCATTCCTTACCCTGAATTATTTGTGTGCTTTGAGAGCTTTGTTAAGCATAGTTGTAAGGAAGAAAGGGTGAAATACAGTTTGTGAGGTTTAGCTCACCCTCTTTTTTTTGACCCCCGAGACCCAAACTGTCATGAACATAATAGAAATAGAGCTCAAAAGAATACTCCGGGTAGAAAAGACTACCTTGGTCTGTACTTCTGAGGGACTCAGCTTCTCCTATTCATGTTTAGAGTGCAGTCTTCATCATTTAGTGATTTTTTTTTTCTAGTGAGTACGTGCCATTACTTCTGGACTTAAAAGAATTTTTTAAAGCAATTTGAGGTGGGGAGAGGGAGAGAGCAAATCCCAAACAGACTCCCTCCTGAGCACGGAACCTGACACAGAGCTCGATCTCACCCCCCTGAGATCATGTCCTGAGCTGAAATCAAGAGTTGGATGCCTGACTGAGCCACCCAGACATCCCTACTTCTGTACTTTAAACTTAGGAAAATTCCTGTTTTTTTCTAGCCTGCTGTTCATGTACAAGGTCAGGAGCCTTTGACTGCTTCCATGTTGGCATCTGCCCCTCCTCAAGAGCAAAAGCAAATGTTGGGTAAGTGCCTTTGTCCCACCTAGTCAGTTACAGAGAGACTAGAAAATGGGGAAGATACTTAGCTATCATTTTTAGGTACAAAAGTAGGCCTAAGGTTACAGGATTGGTCTGAACTGGCATGTCTGCTAAACTTCTTAGTAGTGTTCCAGGCTTTTAATTAAATACTTGGCTTTTGATGACTAGGATAATAGGGCATTATTTGCCATGGATCCCACTACATTTTTGGAGGAGGGAATTTGAAGTAAATGAAAAAGAAACGTCAAGCACAGAATTAACAATTTCATTGCCTTGTGGTAGATCTTAATCAGTTTTTAACTATCAAAATGGTGGGTTTGGGGTTAGGATCTATTTGCTATATACAAAAGTCAGGTTCTTCACCCTAGTTCTAATAATGGTGGATGTCTTTACACTTCTGACTGAAGGAATTTTGTGTTTTTGTTCCTAGGTGAACGGCTCTTTCCTCTAATTCAAGCCATGCACCCTACTCTTGCTGGTAAAATCACTGGCATGTTGTTGGAGATTGATAATTCAGAACTTCTTCATATGCTTGAGTCTCCAGAGTCTCTCCGTTCTAAAGTAATTTAAATTTGTCATTTATCTAACAGCCTCTTATACTATGTATTCCAGGGCTTTTTGTAGAAACTTGAACATTACTAAGTGCTTTATATAAATCATGTACAGTTCTGAGTTTTATAAATTCTAATCACCACCACCACCTATGGTGCTGTTATCCCCATTTTGTAATCTAGATGGGGAAACAAGTAATTGGGGGTTGAAAATGTACCCTGTGTTCACACAGCTAGGCAAAGACAGAGCTTGGTTTCCCCTCCAGCTTCTGTGCTGCTGTTTGTGAGGAGAGAGATGTTTGCCATTGTTTCTCAACTTTGGGGGCAGTTTTGGTGAGAGAGGAAGAAGTGCAAGAGGGTTCATAATTCTAGAATAGTGGTGGAGTGGAACCCCAAAGGATATGGATACAGTTGAAATGGTTTTGTTTTTTTTTTAAAGATTTTATTTATTTATCAGAGAGAGAGAGAGCACAAGCAGGGGGGAGCGGCAGGCAGAGGGAGAAGCAGGCTCCCTCCTGAGCAGGGAGCCCGATGCGGGAGGCTTAACCAACTGAGCCACCCAGGCGTCCCTTTTGTTTTGTTTTGAAAGCAGTTCTTTCCACTTGCATATGAGGAAAGGAGTTTAGTTTGCCTTTGTTGGACATTTATATGTTGTTGTGAATTTGAAATTCTTCTAGTTACTCCTTTTCAGAGCCAGTTTGTTGTTTTTTTAGGTTGATGAAGCTGTAGCTGTACTACAAGCCCACCAAGCGAAAGAGGCTGCCCAGAAAGCAGTTAACAGTGCCACTGGTGTTCCAACTGTTTAAAGTGAGTGTTCCTCCCTGGGTTTATTGGTTTAAGCTTGTTTTTATCAGTTTGAGCATATTTTACAGAAATTCATTTTACCATTAATACACATGTTGTATTGCTAACTTTTCAAAAAGAAGTAGAAATAGAAACTAAAAGAAATTTTACCTGTTAGCCTGGTTTTGACTTGACTTTTGAAATCCAAGCACCTTCAAACGTTTGTATTATAATTTGTATTAAATGGGCTTGGCTTTTTTGTGTACTTACTCTTCCAGGACTTTCATAGCTTATACCTTTCCTTGGGTTGCAATACTGACAGTTGCCCAGGGCCTGCACTCTTATCCTTCATTACTTCCAAGAAATGGGGTAATGGAGCTGTGTAGCCCAGACCAGAGATTGGGCAAAGCTTTTCTGTAAAGGACCAGATAGGAAATACTTAAGGATTTGTGGGCCATGTTGTCTATGTTGTAATTATTACAGTTTTAGTGTGAAAGAACTCCTAGACATTACATAAATGAATAGTTGTGTCCGGGTGCCAATAAAACTTTACAAGAAACAGGCTGCAGACTGAATTTGGCCATGGGCTTTAAATTTGCTACTGCAAGTGCCAGTATTGGTCATTTTGTTTTGTTGTTGGTACTTGGCCATTTGCGTGCTATACACTTTAAATTTGCAGTGTTATGTTTGATACGTTTACATATTGTTGTATGATTGCCAGTGTAGTAATAACTAGCAGCCCTGTCACTTTATGTAATGATTATAATGATCCTAGCCTCTTGGCAAGTTTGATTACATTTTTTTTCTCCCTGCATTCACAGATTGATCAGGGACCACGAAAAGAAACTTGTGCTTCACCGAAGAAAAATATCTAAACATCGAAAAACTTAAACATTATGGAAAAAAAACATTGCAAAATATAAAATAAATAAAAAAAGGAAAGGAAACTTTGAACCTTATGTACCGAGCAAATGCCAGGTCTAGCAAACGTAATGCTAGTCCTAGATTACTTATTGATTTAAAAACAACAAAAAAAACCAAAAAAATAGTAAAATATAAAAACAAATTAATGTTTTATAGACCCTGGGAAAAAGAATTTTCAGCAAAGTACAAAAATTTAAAGCATTCCTTTCTTTAATTTTGTAATTCTTTACTGTGGAATAGCTCAGAATGTCACTTCTGTTTTAAATAACAGAATTGATAACTGAGCAAGGAAATGTAATTTGGATTATAAAATTCTTGCTTTAATAAAAATTCCTTAAACAGTGCCCAGTGCTGTTACGCTATTTCATTTCTTTGTAATTGGTTTTGCACAAATAGGTGATAAGCTGGAATTGGCAAAAGAACCTCTTCCATGAAAAAGGTGAAGTTCAAGGGTATCATAGTTTTATGGAAAAGGGGCACAAGAATTTCTCCAATTTGTTGTATGAATTTAGATTTCCATGTGAATTCTTGAACCGAGGTATATCTGTATTTAACGTTTTTTGAGATGATGCCAGTGTAAGGTTTCTAAGCTGGAAGTTAATTAGCTTAACCCCTCATCATATGGCGTGAAAAACAGTAACAGCACTGGCTCCTAAAGTTAGGATTAGTTTTAAGCCTTAGTTTTGAAAAGACCTTTAATTTGATAGGAAATGAAGTCACAATCATCAACTAATACCTTGTCCCCTAAAGTACTTGTGAAAATTCAGTTTTTGGGGTTCTACCTCTAGAAGATGGATTTAGGAAAAAAATACCCTTGGCAGTTAGAATACACTTTTGGAGAATGGTCTAGTTTTAATTTCTATTCCATTCTCCACATATACTACTAACAAAGTTAAGCTTTCTGAGTTGCACATCTGATATATCTAAGACCGTGCTAAAATTATTTCAACACCAGCTCTTGAGCAAATAATCCAGATAAAACCATGACTATGACAGTGTCATGCTTCTCTGCGTGATGAAGCTTTTAATGCTTTTCACCTCAGCTGCTTCTCTTGAAATTCAAGATGTACATGTTAACCCCCACATACCCCTATGGCTTAAATACTACACCCAGTAGGCATTCTAATTCTTTTTATTTTGTCTGACCATAGACTCACCCTCTTAAGAGGCTGACAGAATACTTAGATGAAAACAATTTCTCTTAGTCACCATGAAAGCTTTTTTCGATGCTTTAAGGCAGAAAAATATATACCACTTTTTCAAATTTGAATACAGAATGGTTCAAGCTTTGAGACTTCAAAGGAAGAGACTTTAGTTTGAGACACCTTAGAAGCTGTATCCATAAAATTCCACACTTACATGCCAAAATTTAAAGTAGCAGATAGGATTTGCATAGATGGTGGTAGCTTGCTTTATACACTGCATAGTTGGGACTTGTTATGTGAGAAGATCTATCGTCCCCATCTGTTCTTGTAGCAAACTTTCCATGACTGTTGAGAGGAACCAACAAAAGTGTGAAGTAGACCTTTGTGCTCTGCTTGTAGGAATTAGGAAAAAAAATAATGTACAGTTGGTCACTTGATCATGTATTTGCAAATTCATCTACTCAGCAAAAGTTACTTATAGCACAGAAATCTACATGCCTTTACAGTCATTTGCCAACATGGCACTGAAAATTTGAGTTGAAACACGTTCCCAGCTGAAGTCGAATAAGCCTGCTAACCTTTTTTCAGTTTTCATACCATAAACAAGTCTCCTTTTTGAGGTCTATCTACTGCCATGTTCTTGATATTTTTGTGTTTGTTGGTGATTGTGCTGTTTAAATTGCTCCTAAGCATAGTGCTTAGGTGCTGTCTGGTGTCCCTAAGTTCAGGAAGGTAGATAAGCTTCATTCAGGCATAAGTTACAGAGCTGTTGGCTAGGCGTTCAAGGTTAACTATATATTAAATAAGGTGTCTTTAAACAGGAACACACAAAAGCAAGGATATTATGAAAATGTGGCTGGCTTACAGGTACCTATTTCCCCTAAGAGCAATGATTCAATATTTGCCAATAACATTGTTAGCGAGACTTCATAGAACATAATAACCACAATTAATGAAGGCTAGTTGTATCATAAAGATATAGCTCATAATCTACAATAGTTTATTTTAAAGCACCTAATTTCATGTGGGATTTGAAGTGAAACCGAGTAAGACCACTGATGTGCTACTGTACATCTTTCTAAAGCCTATTGTGGCTGCTTTGGAACTTCAGACAAATTGATAGGCCGTGTTTTTCTGTAGACACTGGATGTATAATCTAGGCTAATTGGAAACTTTTTAGCCTAGAATCTTCATTTCAACACGCCCCCGAAGACTTGCATGGTAACGTATCTTGTTTCATAGTATCCTATCTTTGACTATATTTCTTACCTTCCTATCAAACTAATGGATCCCAAGTGACTGACATTGTGGAGAGTACTTTGAAATTTTCTCAATCTTTTGATGTAAAACCGTGGTCCCAGATTACTTATTTGCAGTGAGTAAATGACTTTGAAGAGGACCTGGATATTTGGGTATAATGAGTACATTATCCCTATAACACAGTTCTCATGGGAACAAAGTGAATCAGAAGTTTGGTTGAAGTTGGAAGCAAAATGGGTGGAGTTGGGTCAGTACACTGGCCAGTATCCTTAAACTGTAATAATCTGGTGCACACCACTCTGCTAGGAGACCAAATGGTCAGGAGGACATCTGAGTCTCCTTGTCAGGACAGCCACACCTTTGGACAATGCCAAAGCTACACTGGATTTCTGTTGCCCTTTTTCTAGGCTTCATACGGACTCTTCTGTAAATATAACCTCTTCAGTTAGACAATCGGATTGGTTTGATTTAAGGGTTCTTAGTTACCACTTTGATAACTTAGATGTTGCCGAGTCTTTTTAAACCACCTAGGTGCAAGTGTTAAGCATTTACATGGCAGAATTAGAGGGTAACCCAATTTCAAATTTTAGGTGTTATCCTAGCTTTTTATCTAATCTCACAATCATGGCAATTTGGGAAGAAAAGATAGTCTTATCCACAAAGGTAGAAAAACATGCAATTTACCTACTTTGTTACTGACATTATCCCCAGAAAACTTGAAACAACACGGGATATTTATTAGTCTAACATTCTTTCTGTAGAGAAAAAGCCCTTCACATTAGACGTCAAGAATATTTGTATTTTTTTGGAATGTTCCCACAAGTTGTGTAATAACTGTTGATAAGGTATATATGAGCAGATGGATTTATGGTTGATGGGATTTTTCCAACGTACCGCCCCAAGTAAAAAATAACATTACACGTTTGTAATATAGAATGAGCTGATGCTAAATTGAATGTTAAAGACCTGTCCTTTCCATTTTTAAATTTGAGTAGATTTTATTTTTTATAAGTAACATTGTGACTTAATTTACAATACCAACTGTGATGCACTGGTAATTTGGTGGCACCGTAATTACGGCAGACAGCGAAAATGGGGATCTAATGAGGAATGGCGCTTGTCACTGACGAGCAGTGCCGGGCTGGTATAGAGGAGGGAGTCTTCGGGCAGGGCGTGAAAAGTCATGGAATCTTTTCTAATCATGAAAGCTGCCTGCTTTTGAACCAGTTAAGTGTTAACTGCTGATATTGAGCATGTACAGCATGTTTACTTACCAAGTGAATTCTTTACATGCACTATGATTAAGCCCACCCTGTGAGATTCAGTAATACACTCCCATCTTACAGTAGAGGGAACTGAAGCTTTGAGAAGTTTAGTGATTTGCCCAAAAGCACATAGTAAGTGATGGTGAAGCTGGAATTTGAATCCAGACCCACAGGCTCTACAGTTCATGCCAAGGCTCTGGGTAAACGGTCTTTTTAAAAGTCCATTTATTTAAAAAATATTTTTTTAAAAAGTTCCAAAAAAGCAGATATTTGGGCTTACCTTCAGTCTGGGGGGCGAGAGGTGGCATGACCCAGGTCTATCAAAGCACGTGGTAGGAAGCCAAAACAAAGATGCTTTTCTCTTGACATATTTTAGGGCAGCCACAAAAAAAAAAAAAAAAAAACCCAAAGGAAAGAGTCATTATTTAGAAGAAAAAGGTCTTTAATGAAGCTGAGCTTAAAATTCTATATCAGAATATTTTCCTTCCTTCTGAGCATCAGGGACTGCCTGGGAATATCAAACATTTCCTTTAGCAACCCTGTGATGGCTTTTCTGAGCTCATTCGTATTTCCATTCTAGGTTCTCTTGGAATTGGTAAATGGATTTAATCAAAACCTTTTAATTATCATGAGGTTTTTTTTAAAACCTGTGAAATTGACCTTCTGACCCCTGTATTGCATTTCTGTGCCGATTAGGAAGGTATGAACATTTTCTCAACAGTTTCTAAGAAATGCGTTTGATATAATGCCAAGTGCTGCTGCTAAAGAAGAAATTTCCAGCAAATTAGGTATGTTTTAAGTAACAGCCACTGCTCGTAAGTGGCAAAGCCAAATCTAGAACTCTAGGCTCTCTGACTTGAGTCAGTGCTATTACTAGCTTTTACTTTAATTTAGCTTTTATTTCTCTTGCTAATCCTTTACGCTGAAAAAATTCAACAGATAGGAATTCCGTGTATTTCCTTTAGCAATATATGAATAGATAATAACTTTTTAAAGATAGAATTTTTTTCTCTTGTCATTTAAACTTAGCTTTTGTCTTGTCTCAGAGATCACTGTCTCAAAGTGATGTCAGAGTCATGGTAATGTTAAGTCATTCCTCTTTCCTCTCCCCTTTTATGACAACTAGACATCCATAACTGGGCAAAAGTGCCTCTGCAGGTTACCCCAAGGGATACACCAGTCCACCTGTGCCCCCCCCAAAATAAACAGGTCCTCAGTAAGGGCTACAGATCCAAGGGATTTGGTGAACCCCTGTGATGGGGGATAAAAAGAGCCTGGAGAGTGCAAAATTAGGCAGATACCAATGGACAGAACCCATGGAAGCCAGCCTCCAGAGGGGAGATTTCAGCATGCCATCAGAATAAGGCGGAGAAGGGTAGAGACAGGTTTGGATGCAAAGGAGAGGGAGGAACTCAGGCAGGGCAGCCCTGCCTCCAGAGGGTGATACTGCAAGGGCTGGGCTTTAATACACCTCTACAGCAGAGGAGATGGAAAGTGAAAATGGTGAGTGGACGCCAGGCTACCACAACTGAGCGAGACAAACCTGTTTTTCAGCAACACCCAGATTTCTCAGGAAGGACCTCTGTGACTTGTAGGGAGGAAGGAGAAAAGGAAGGAGGCAGATGAGGTCAGAGGGCATTAACAGCAGGTGTGTTTGTCAGGACTTCAACAGGA